CACAGAGCAAGGGCGAGGCTCTGGGAAATTATAAGAGAAGGCAGAGCTCAAAGGTGGAGTCCTAGGGGAATGAAAGTCCTCTGGGCCTTTGCTCATGCCATGGCCTATGCCTGGGTTGCCTTCCCTGTCTCCTCTCTGACTCTGGTAATCTCTCATCCATCAGTGTGCAGCCTGAATCCAGGGTGACCAACTGTCCTGAATTACACAGGACTGAGGAGGGGTCCCCTAGGATGCAGGACTCTCAGTGCTACAATTGGGAACATCCTGGGCAAACCAGGACATGTTGGTTACCCTACTGGAATCTTTGCATTCATATTCTTTGCACTCCATCATCTTATCAGAATGACCTTGGACAATTTACCCATCAACACGGGCCTCATTTTCCTCCCATGAGGTTGAGGGCAGCTCATGATTGTTATGGAAATTTAATGAGTTACTATATAAAAAGTGCCTAGTACTGTGCCTGGCACATGGAAAATACTCAGTGATGTTGGCTACGTTTTACTGAGTAGAATGAGACCTTTGAGATCACCGGCCTCCACCTGGTCCAGGAGTCCTCTCTGTGGGGACCCTGCTTGAACACACTCTGTGATGCTCTACTCCCCTCCTCACCTGGGAGCCTTTTCTTTATGTCTGGTGAACTATTCCTGTGCCGTCAGCTCTGAGGACCCAGAGAGAATGGGACCCTCTTCTTGATGACATCCCATGGCTCCTTGAGGATGACTTGCCCGTCTCCACCCTGGGTCTTCTTTTCCCTGGGTGGGGTACCCCCTCCCTAGTGGGACCTGGCCACCAGCCACATCCTGGCTGTGTCCTCTGGAAGTAGTGCTATCTGCCCCCATAAGCCCCAGGGCCCAGCATTGAACTTGGCTCAGCTCAGGGGGCTTTTCTGTACTGCAAACAGGTATAGTGGGTGTAGATGGTGCCCATCGTCTGAATTAGACCTGGAGAAGAATTTCCTGAGAACAAAAGGTGACTGGCTCATGAAGAAGACTATGGGGCTTCTGTCCCCAGAATCATGGGCTCTGAACTGGAAAGGCCTACAGGACTTTGTAGACAGGCCCTGATTTCCCATTGAGATGCTCTGCATACACTCCCCTTTCTCTGGCCCGGCCTAGAGGCAGGCACCTGGGCACGTTCTTGACTCAAAGGGGCAGGATAGTAGAACGGTTAAGACACCTGGCTTCCTGATCAGCGTCACCTTCGTCTAAATCTTACTCCTCTACCTTTAGCTGCATGACCTTGGGCAAGTCACTTAATTGCAGTTTCCTCGTGGGTACAGAAAGGATAGTTCTTACAACTAGCACATATGAAATATTAAGTGGTACTGTTTATGGTTATCCCATCCCCCAGGGGATGAACAGAAAATATTGTGCTCCTTGTGCACAGATGGGAAGATGACTGGGCAGGGTTGAGATTTGTTCTAGCATGTCTGGGTACCTAGAGCTCCGTATACTTGTCCCAGGAACCACGGAGAACTGTTCCCAAGATCATGGACCTCTCCTCTCAGCGGGGATTGGAGTCCACGTGCTGTGTTAGTGGCTGGTGATGTGGCCTGGATGGGAGGTATTTGCATCACATCCCAGCAGAGCCCTTTGCCATCTGTGGCAGCCAGACTGTTCTGAGCAGGAGCTTTGTGGTGTGCCCCTCCCACACGCACACCAGCCTCTGGCAGGCAGTTCTGGGGTCAAAGGATGGGGGAACAGATGGAGTCCTCAAGAACAAAAAAATCATAGGGAAGTCACTGGGCACAATGTGTGCCCCGCACACAGTAGGGCCATGATAGCTATTTGTGTAGAGTAAATGAAAGCAGCAGGCGTGGAGACATTCCGGGCCCTCCGCCCCCTCCAGGTGTGGGGGTGATACGCTTCTGTGGCTTATGTCAGTTGGCCCAGTGAGGCTGCCGGGGCCTTGTGTTGCTTGAATTGGCGACTGGAAGAGCGGGTGATACAAGGTTGGGATGGTGTGTGGGTGGCCCAGGTGGGCGGAACGAGGCTGTGGGCTGGGCGTGTCTGGGCTGATCTACTCAGGGAAGACAGCTCTTTGAGGACCCTTGGAAATCACTTGAGTGACTTTATGGGTTTATGTCTTTCTGCCTTCAACTTGAGCACTTTCTCTCCCCACTTTGGGGAGCGGGGGTGCACTGTATGATTGATTCTTCAGTGGTGCCTGAGTCCTGAAAGTTCCATCTCGTAGCTTCTGCTCCAATCCATTGCAGAGCGTTGCTGCCTTTCTTTCATGGGTCTGCCTTTCTCGTTTCTCTCATTGGTGAGGAGCTGGCTGCTCTTGGTTTATCCTTGAACTTGCCAGGTTATTTTTTCCAATAAAAGCTATTTTTATGATAAACTTATTTTTCTATTTTAAAAGTAAAGTATCCCTATATATACTTCAAAAATATCTTTATATAAATATGTAGTGGGTACTTAACTTATTTTGTATAAAATGAACAGTGGGACTATAAATAGTAATAAATGGGTCAAATCCTTTCTAATAACCATTTAACATTCTCATTATTTTCCTTTGGATCTTCTTTCCCAGGCATGTATACTTTTTTACCTAGTTGGAATTACAGTGTGCATACAATTTTTTAATTCTGCTTAAAAAAAAAAGCCCTAAATACTATAACTTGAACTATTAAACAAGAAAAACAGTGAACAGACATAGGTTGATAATACTATTTAAGGAGCTCTACCAACATTTGGGGGGATAAAAATGCCAGAACTCCAAATAGAAAAATAGCAAGAGACACAAAGAGGATTTTCCATAGGGGAAATAAAGATGGTTAATTAACCATGAAAGATAATCAGTCTCATTATTGAAAGAATTGCAAATTAAAGCAAGGGATACCATTTCCCCTGATCGTATTAGCAAAGAATTTTTTTTTAATCATCCTTCTACTTGTTGGACAGAATATATGTAAATTGGCACGAGTATTCTGGAGACCAGTTTGGCAGTAAATATCAGGAGCCATGTATTTGTTTACTAATTGTATTTTCTCCCTGTGAATGTCTTATGTCCTTTCTCATCTATCTCTTGGGTGGTTTCAATTTTTTTTAATTGAACTATATTGAGCATTTTAAATAATAAAGATGACTCTTTGTTATCCTATGCTATTTGTCTATCCTATTTATAGATCCTTTTCACCATCTTTTGCTTGCCTTATTTATTTTAAGTATCCAGGCATTTTATATTTTTTGTACAGTTAGGTTTATTGATCTGTTCTTTGTGATTCTTTATGGCTCCTACATTTAAAAAGTCATCTTCATGTAAGAGGTTATGTAAATGTTAAATCCTGTTTACTTCTGAGTTTTTTTGTTTAATTTCAAAAAATACTATTATTGCTGTTCAGAATAGGATCTTTAAAAACTGTATTTTATTACCGGCATATAGGAATATTATTGAATTTGCATATTTATTTTGGAATGATCTTCAGAGGCTTAGAGGCCTGGGAAAGCCTAGCCTCTTTGGGGAGAGGACAAGAATTTGCTGAGAGATGGGGCAGTGCTGTCTGAGTTGGTAAGTACCCTTGGGGGTCAGGGGTTGGGAGTGATCACCAGTAATGGCGGTGATCCAGGAAGATTTCCAGAAGAGGTGGGATGGGAGCTGGCCTTGAAGTATGGAGAGGATTTGGATGAGGAGGGGAGAGTAAAGTGGAAGGGGAGGAGAGAAATAACATCTGTAGCGTTCCCGCTATGTACCTGCCCAGCACTTTGTTAGTACATTTAGTACTTTCTATTAGATTTCATTTTCCTGATAGCCCCGCTAGGTAGATGGTGATGCCCCCATTTTACAGATGAGGAGACAGAGGCTCAGGCACCTTAAGTGACTTAGATGAGCTGGGCAGCCTAATTTCTGAGCCTCCGTGCTTTCAGTATCTTCCTGCTGCCATATATAAAAAACAGCTTTATTGAGATACAATTCACCCATTTAAAGTGTACGATTCAATGGTTTTAGTATATGCACAGAGTTGTGCAACCATCACCACAATCCATTTTAGAACATTTGCATTACCCCCACAAAGGAACACCCACCCCTTTGTTGCTACCCCAATACCCCCAGCACTGGGTAACCACTAATCTACTTCCTGTCCCTATACATTTGTCTCTTCTGTACATTTCATATAAATGGCCTCATACACTATATGGTCCTTTGTGACTGGCTTCTTTGACTTAGCATGATGTTTTCAGGTTCCATCCATGTTGTAGCATGTATCGGTACTTCATTCCTTTTTATGGCTGAATAATATTCCATTGTGTGGCTACACCACATTTTGCTTGTCCATTCATCCGTCGATGGACATTTGGGTTGTTTCCACTTTTTGGCTATTGTGAAAAATGCTGCTCTGAATTCATGTGTAATTGTGTTTTTGTGTGGACGTATGGTTTCATTTCTCTCAGGCATACACCTAGGAGTGAATTGCTGGGTCATACAGTCACTCTAAGTTTATCCACCTGAGGAACTGCCAGACTGTTCTCCACAACAGCTTCCCTGCCGCCTCTTGTACAGGCTTTGCCTTCAGAGTGACAGGACTGGGAAGAAGGGCAAACCACAAAGTCTGTGAATTGCCTGTTTTCAAAGCAGTAGACTATTATAGAGTACAACTATTATACAGTTGTAGACTGTTAAGGCTACAGCTCCACTGTTGAGTCCTTGATGCTTCTAGAGGGATTTATGAATTCTGCAGGCCTCAAAGACACTGCTGTGAATGCTGGTCGTCATTGTGCCTTCTGCATTCTGGCTAGTAGGCTGTGGTAAGAGAGAAGGTGCTAGAGTAACCCCTAAGGTTCAGGGTGTGAGGTAGGACAAGTGTGATTAATGATGAGGAGGAGGAGGAAGGCTCTTGGAAGATGGAGGGCAGGGTCTCGAGCCTGGTGTAGGGGAGAGAGGCGGGAGAGCAAGGAGGCTGGAGGGGAGACAGGGTTGGGGTTCATGTGGTTTGAGGCAAGTCCTTGGGCAGCTGTGGCCGCTAACTCTGCTCTGTCTTTGTTCTTTGGCTGCAGATCTGGCTGAGTGCAAGCTGGTTTCCTTCCCCGTCGGCATCTACAAGGTCCTGCGGAATGTCACCGACCAGATCCACCTCATCACGCTGGCCAACAACGAGCTCAAGTCCCTCACCAGCAAGTTCATGACCACGTTCTGTCAGCTCCGAGGTGGGCCTGGTCAGCTGAGGCCAGGAGGGCTTGGCTAGCCCTCATTGTTCAGGCTCCAACACTGTCTGGGGAGTGTCATGAGGGCCAGCCCCCAGTCAGCTAGACCTGGGAAATCATTCCCACGGGGAGGCTTTGAGGATGTGCCCTCCCTGCAGCCTGGAAATCTCTAAGCGTCACTCCTGCCTCTCGATGGCTGTAAATGAGATTGATATTGGTCAAGGTAGTGAGTCCTGGAGTGATTCTCTTATTCTGAACAGACCAGTAGGGTGTTTGGGGTCCTGAGGCCCAGGAGCAGTTATTTTTCAGTAGACTTGAACAAGTCCCCTTCTGCCGCCCGCAAAGCTGGCGTTGTTCTCCTGTGCTGCTTTCTCAGTTCAGGAGTGACAGGTGCTAGGGCTGTTGGTGTTCCCTCTGCTAGGTGAACACAGAGCAAGCAGACAAGGGTGCTTGGCAGGGAGATGGGCAAGAGGCCAGCAGGTGGGCATTGTAGGTTCTTTTGCAATGGCTTCTCCAGAGGGACGAGCAGGATGCAGAGGGCACTGCAGTGCCAGCTCCCCTCTCCACAGAGTGGTCCCTCCATCCTTCTGCAAGAGTCCACTGCCACCCAGTGACCCATGGAGTGGAGCTGTAGCCTGGGCACTTGGTGTATGTTTGTGAAATGAGGGGCGGGAGAATTGGGGAGGGCACCAGGGGCCAGCCCGGTGGTGCAGTGGTTAAGTGCACATGCTCCGCTTCGGCGGCCTGGGGTTCGCAGGTTAGGATCCTGGGCGCGCACTGATGCACCGCTTGTCAAGCCATGCTGTGGCGGCGTCCCATAGAAAGTAGAGGAAGATGGGCACAGATGTTAGCCCAGGGCCAGTCTTCCTAAAAAGAAAAAGAGGAGGATTGGCATCGGATGTTAGCTCAGGGCTAATCTTCCTCACCAAAAAAAAAAAAAAAAAAAAATTAGAGCTGTCTCTGCCATCTCGTTTCATGGATGGAGATGAAAGGTCAGGGAGAGAAGGGCCTTGTCAGGGGTCTCAAAGCAGTACACCCAGGTCGCCCACCTTGCAGACCAGGACTGCCTTTCCAGGCCACATGCATCAGCTCGAGGGTCCCCTAGAGATGTTTGCTTTCCAGAGGAGGATAGAAAGATAGAAAACGGATGGTTGGGGTTGCCTGGGACCCCCAGGAAGGGCACAATCAGGCGGTGGGGCTTACTTTGGGTAAGAGGAGAGTTCATTTGTGCTTTCCTTCATTCGACTTTCCCTTGAGCACCTGCCATGTTCTGGACCTGTGTCTGGAGGCGGGGAAACAAAGGCCAACAGGGAAATAAAGTCAGTTCTGCTTTGGGTGGTGGGGGTGTTAGTTTGCTAGGTCTGCTGTAACAAAGCACCACATCCTGGGGGGCTTAAACAACAACCTACTTCCACCTTCTTCCCTAAAGGAGCCCAGGGATGTGGAATAGACTCCACCCAGCATACCGAGGGCTGTGACAGTGGTGTGGAAAAACCCGGGACTGCTGGGACCAGCAATCAATTCTTCCTGAGAGTGGCATGGGCAGTGGGGTGGGTATGGAAGCGAGGGCTTTCAAAGGAGTTGACATTTGGCAGCGCCTTGTGGAATGAGTAAGTAGGCCCTCTCCAGGGGGCATGGTGACAAGTGCCAGAGAAATGGGCCTGGAGCCCTGTGCATTCGTGCCTCGGCCTTGGAAATGTATTTATCATAATACCCTTCCTGTCAGGAGTCTGTTGAAGAATGCGGTTTATACTCCCTCCTGTGCTGCTGATGCTTCTGACTCCCCCACGCCACCTCGGATTACAAACGGAAGGCGGTGGTGTGCCCAGTAATTGGATTTCACAGAGGTGGCAGCGATTGAGGGACGATGACCAGGGACAGGCAGGGGGGCTGGAGCTGAGAGACCCACCTGGCTCCCGCCAAGATGGCTTTGGGCCTAGCCTTTGTTGTGGTTTCTGTTTCAAATAGAAAATCCCTCTCCTTTCATGTGTGAAGAGGAGGCTTGAATAGGCTTTGCTGGGGTCTGCACAGCCTGCCAGCCACCTCTTCTGAGTTTTGATGGAGGAGTTGGCCTGCCTTGGTGCTGGGGAGAGAGCCGTGTGCTTACTCCCTGCCTGCAAAGTTGTTTCCCCTGGGTGCCCTGGGGACTGTCTCCTGCTAGGCTCATGGCCTTCTCAGAACTGGGTCATCTTTAAATGATTCCATTGCCTTGATATCCATCACCCATTTTATGGAATGAAAAAACAAGACCTGAGAAGGCCAATGGCGCAATGGAATCCACCCAAAGGGCAGGTGGGCCTTGCGGAGGAGTGGGTCCCAATGTTTGGCTGTGGCTCTTCTGCCCCACTCTTCTCCTGTGTTCCCATCTCCCCACTTCCTCCTGGGGCAAGTCATTCAGGTCTTTTTACTGAGTGTGTCCTGGGCCTGCCAGGCCAGAGGTGTGTGAGACACGCCTGCAGACATAAGTGAAGACCACCCAAATGAGAATAAGCGGAGGCTGTTGATTCAGAGCTTGCTGTAGCACGGGAGTCAGCCATGGTCTCTTGCATTTGGCAGAGACTCAAAGGCAGGCAGACAAGTGGGAAAGCTTTACAGCGGATAAAAGGGAGGGCGTCAGGGGTGCCCTGATTGGAAGCTGTTGACCTGGGGAAGCTGGGGGTGGGCCAGCTAGCAGGGGGCGTCCTATGTGATTGGTTGGCGTGCAGATTTGGCTTTCACCGATCGGTCCTAAGTTGGAAATGGGGACAACAATTAGGGAAGCTGTCAGTAATCAAGTCCTGGCCATTTGGGGCTGATTGTTACAGGAGGTGTTATTTGGCTTCCTGGATTGTCGGTAAGAGATAGCAGTCTGACTTCCTACAAGTCTGACTTACAGCAGACTAGGCTGGTTACATATCTAATGAGTTGGTTTCCTGGGCAGGTTGCTGCTGGTTGTGGGTCAGAGTTCTATTTTTATATTTGGTCTGGCCATTGTCTGTGTGTACATTCAGTCTCACAGCCTGCCTGTCAGCTCAGTTCAGGAGTTCCTCATGAGTACCTGTTCTGGGCCCGGCTGTGGGCATGATCAGGTGAGTAATAACACGAGAGTCCAGGTTCACTGGGTGTTTAGCCCTCCCAGCTGCATGCTGAGGATTTACACTTGTCATCTCATTTAATCCCTGTAGCACCTGACATTTGGGAAGGATAAGAAAAACTAAGATCTAGACCTGGTCTTTGAGGAGCCCACAGTCTCTCAGGGGAGGCAGGTGTATAAGCAGACAACCCCTTATAATGTGAGGGATGACACAGCAGACATTTACTCAAAGTCCAGCAGGTGTGCCAAGGAGGCAGAAGTCAGTTCTGCTTTGGGTGGTGGGGGTGTTAGTTTGCTAGGGCTGCCGTAACAAGGCACCGCCTCCTGGGGGGCCTAAACAACAGTCATTGATTTCCCACAGTTCTGGAGGCAGGAAGGCAGACTCAAGGTGTTGGCAGGTTTGGTTTCTCCCGAGGCCTGTCTCCTTGGCTTGCAGATGGCCACCTTCTCATGTGTCCTCACATGGCCTTTCCTTTGTGCATGTATTCTGGTGTCTCTCTGTATGTTCTAATTTCCTTTTCTTATAAGGACATCAGTCAGGTTGGATTTGGGCCCACCCTAAGGGCCTTATTTTAACGTAATCATCTCTTTAAAGACCTTATCTCAAATACAGTCACATTGTGAGGTCCTGGGGACTAGGGCTTCAACATAAGAATTTGGGGGGACACAATTCAGCCCATAACAGTGGGGAATCAGAGAACCTCCAGAAGAAATGGCTTAGAGGGAGCATTTGACAGATGAGTAGGAGTTTGCCAGATGGAAAAAGGGGGAATTCCTGAGGCATCTTTCAGGAAGATGAGAAATGTGTTTGGAAAATGACTAGAAAAATGGTACAAGACTGACATTTCAGAGCAGAGGGATATGGTGTGTCGTCAGGGACTGGCCCGAGGGAGACATCTGCCAAGTGGGAATGTTATGGTGCAAAGGGGCACGATCTGCTAGCCGCAAGACAAAAGCTGATCATCAAGAGGCAAGATGATGGCAGAGAAAGGGCATTTTATTAAGCGATAAGCTAGCAAATCAGAAGATGGTGGACTAGCATTCTAAAAACCATCTTGAAGCACTTATACAGGCCAGTGGGTTATAGGGGAGGGGATTAGGAATATCGACCCTCTGGTGTTACAGACTGGGTGTTGCCACACCAGATCTTTCAGTTGTTATGGATGTCAGCATAGAATCTCTGTCTGGGGGTCATCGCATTCCTAGAGAACTCAAAGGAACAAAGTTATCGTCTTACGGCAGCTGAGAGGGGCCCTAAAATCTACAGAGCGTATATATCTCCTGGAGGGTGCATATCCAGCTGGGCTAGTTAATCAGAGGTCATTCAAAGTTACAATATGGTCTCTTTTCTACAATATGGCTTCCCTTATGTCAACCTTGTGTTGAGCTGGTATCAGGAACATTTGGGAAGGGTCCTGGGGGGTGGGATGGGACAGGCCTGTGGCAAAGGCAGAGAAAGGCATTTCAGGCAGGAGAAGCAGCGTGCGTCAAGGTGTGAGGCCAGGAAGGTGCGGGAGGTAGCCTCATGGCCGACAGGAGACGTCTCACAGGCTGAATCTGTGTCAGCGGGACCTTGAGTGCCAAGTCCTAAGCCTTATCCTTATCCAGCCCCCAAAGGAGGTCATGGGACCCTTCGGCCCCCCAAAGCGATGAGTCCCCTTACCAGGAGAGCCTGCTGCAGGGGGAGGCTGGGTTTGGGCTGGCTGAGATGGGCTTCACGGTCCCCGGGTCAGGAGTCTTGCGAGGTGTTTAGGGGCAGGCAGGGGGTGTGCCAGTGGACGGTGTATGTCAGGGCCCCAGAGGGCTTTCTTTGCTGGTGTTCCAAGAAGGGAGGAGAGGTGGGGGTATGGGTCACTGGTTCAATAATGATCCAGAGCCAGAAGAGCGAATGAACCGTCCTGGGAAAGTCCATCAGGAAAGAACCAGGGCA